TTATCTTCCAAAAAATATTTCAGATTAATTTATGTATAATATGGTCCAGTTTGCAAGTGTTAAAGAATCTAAATGTGTAGTTTGTCTGAAAATCCTAAAAAAAAAAAAAAATAAAGAAATAAGGTTTCTCTTTATTCAGGTAGAATAATGGCTTTTTATTGGCGTTAACAGCTTGCTTACTTACCGCTATACAACGTACAGAAGATATTGTCCATTTTTCTCAGGCGTTTTTACTCCAAATGTATATTAGCACAAGTCTATACTACAAAATTAAGTCAATGTAAGTTACGTTGACCTACAGCCAGTGCAGTAATTAAATCAGCTGTTCATGTCCACACTACCCTCCTTGTGCCAATGGTATGCGTCCTCACCAGGCGCACCTGCATTGACTTAAGTGGGGGCATTGCAGGGGGCTGACAGGCAGAGCCCCACCACTGCAGGGCTGACAGTTGGTGCAGGGCTGACTGTGAGAACTCTCTGCCCTAGGGCTGTATGTTTCGGTGGGGCTGGCGCTCATGGCGGCTGGCCAGTCAGCAGGGCTGGCCCTGATGGCACTGGCTGGCCCCATGGCAGGCTGCCTACCCCATACGGAGGCGATAGGGCAGGGATGATGCCACCAGCATGCCCTATGCGGAGGCGACAGGGGAGGCCTGGGGAGGCTGGCCAGGCTGGGGCTGATGGTGGTCAGCCAGTGGTTGGCCCCGTGCAGGAGAGGCAGGGCTGGTGGCACGGGCTGGCCTGCTGCCCCGCCCGGGAGCAGCTGGGGTTGATGGCACCAGCTGGCGGCCGGCCCTGCCGCCCACTGGCCGGTGCCATCGGCCCCAGTCCCGCTTGCCCCTACATGGGGCAGCTGGCCCCATGTGGGGGCAGCGAAGCTGGGGCTGATGGCACTGGCTGGCTCCATGCAAGGGCAACGGGGCCTCGGGCTGTCAAAAGCAGCAGCAGGTGATGTAAGCAACTTAACTACATTGACCTAAGCACACTTTTGCGCACGGAGGTGAAGTTATTAGGTCAGCGTAGAGGACAACTTACTGTAGTGTAGATGCGTAATAAAATTAGGTCAATGATAAGCTTCCTTATGTTGACCTAACTCTGTAATGTAGACTAGGCGTTAAATGTTCTTTGTTATGGATTACTGACACACTTCCTCAAATCTTACTGCAAACTGTAGTAATAGATTGAGTTACCATTCCATACAAGTCTGTTCAGAATTGTCACTGCTAGCCAGATCTCTAGTGTTAGGTTTGAGCTGTAGCTGCATCAATTGTGATCGTTCCTCTGTCTGCCAGCATTTTCTTTGCTGTTGGCCTCCAACTTTGATGTCTTGTACTCCCTGGAAGGATTTGCGGATTATTTGAATTTGTTGCACTAGCGGCCATCCACAAATCAGGCTGGAACTTATCAGCAGAATGGATGCTAACCTGGAAGGAAGTACAGGCAGAAGGAAGAGAGAGAGAGAGAAAAAGGATGGTTGAGTTGGAAGTAACTTTGAGCAGCAAAGAGGCATGGGGTGAGAAAATGAACACAGGAAAGCAAGAATAAGAGAGAGAACACAGAAAAAATAAACAGGAGGAGGAAAGGAAAGTAGGAAAGAGGCTGAAGCAGGAAAAAACCTATAGAATGTAACAGAAAAATATAGCTAAAACGTAGCTTTACACACCTATTGTAGCTTTATTTTTAAGGTAGTTCTTGGACAAATTCATTTCTCTTTCCAGCTGGTATTTTCCCCCCTCCTTGTCTGTCTCTAGAGGTGGCTTTCAGTGTGTGCCTCACACTTGGGCCAGATGTGCCATGCCCTATCATTTTTTATTACTTACAATTTTTATTACTATTTACAATTTTTAATACTTTGGAATTGTTTTGAGAAAGCAAAATGGAGATTGAAGTAAGGTATCTGGGTCAGTATTTGGGTTTGTGCTACCCAAACAAATAAACACAATCCCTTTCATTTTGCTTCAAAAGAGCCTCTATTTTGTGATGATGAGGATGGAACCAAGTTCTGCCCTCAGTGTTTGTTTAAAACGGAATGAGCATGTAATCCTCCAGCTCAGGAACTCTGGTGCTCAAACCTTGGAAAAAACTGGTCCAGCTAGATCCTTGCCTTGAGTTACTTCATGGATTACTTTAAATTAAATTTCATCATGTCTTATATTGGCTGATATGTTTCTTTGTAAAACTCAGATTTGCAGAACCTTCTCTTTTCAGTAAGGCAGTCATATTGTTTCTAAAGTTCAATATAAAATGTTATGGACTGTAATCTCAGAATTTATCTGCACTTTATATAAAAATCTTCCTTAATATGATCAACATTATCTCCTTACAGCCTGAAACTGCGATCCCTCCGAGTTAACGTTGGACAGCTACTGGCCATAATTATGCCTGATCTAGATTTGCAGCAAGTAAATTATGATGTTGATATAGTTGATGAAATTTTAGGACAAGTTGTGGAACAAATGCATGAAATCACCACTACTTAATATCCTTTACTGAAGACATTAAGACACTTGCTGAATCTTCCACTATATTGTAGGGTTTCCAAATTGTAAAGACTGGTTTTGTTTTTATGTTTGAGTAATTTAGATATAAATCCAGTGTAAAATATATATACTGTGTGCACTCAGGTGTCACAAATACTGTGGGTACTTTTCATGTACCTTTAACTTTCTCCTTAAAGGAACAGTCAACATTGACAGGCCGTGGATGTACCTAACTTATTAAGAATTTTGTTTTAAAAATAAATGTTTGTAATTAAACTTGCAAATATTTTCTATTACTTTGGAATCTTAAGCAGTTTTTACAGAGCTTTTCATTTTGCTTTTAACTTTTGTATTCTGTGATCCTTAAATGTATTTGTTCCCCCAAAACTAAACTTACCCTCTCTGATCCCCCTCCAAAACCAAACCACAATAGCATTGTTGTAAATATCAGTATTCTGCTTGTAAACAGTAATGAAACAGGCAAGTTTTGTGCATTTGCCTTTACTCAAATTTAGTTGGTACATAAAATTTTTGGGCTATGGTCCCTGGTAGCAATATGGGTTGTTGGGTTTTTTTTGTACAACATGGGTCTGATCCTGACAAGTGCTAATACCTGCAATTCCCACCAAAGCCAGTGGGAATTGCAGATGCTCATACCACTCAGAAGCATACTGCTGTAGTACTAACCACAAGTAGGCATAGTTTTGGTATGTGCTGTGTGAGCTTATTCATAGCTCTGCCGATGCATCTCAATACTGACCTGAAATACTACCATTTTAATACTACCCCCTTGAGTGAAGACTGCGAATCATGTTAAATTGTATAGTGGTTTTGTGATGTTGGCAAATACAGAATAGGGACAAGATATGTCCTAAAATAATAAACCTCAGAACACTGAATTGTTGCAATATTGATTACTGACTCTGCCATAGAAACCCCCCTTTGTTAGCTTTCTTTGAAATGACACTACTGTAATCAATCTGTCTCCTAATTTAGCTTCCCATGAAAATACCTATAATGCAGCATGCTGTATGATTACAATGGGCTACTCAGTTTTAGAGGAATTATGTAATTAAAAGGGCATTTAAGTTAAAGATACTTTTAAAAACAAATTAATTACCTTACCGATGGTGGTAATGACCAATGAATTTATTAAAGCTGAAAACTTAAATCTAATTTGCTTTCACTGTTTATGCAGTTTTAAATTTTGCACATTTTTTATGGACCAAAAATGGGCTAGTCCTTTTGTTTCTAGTCTCTTTTCCTGGTTCTCATGTATCAGCACTGTGCTGCAATATCTGCAAAACAGGTGAATGTTTAAATTTAAGTGTTGAGGACAAATATGGGGATAGTGATGGTATGCTCCTTCAAACCATCTTTTTTTCCCCCAGCCAACAGAGGTGTCCTTCTCATTTGACTAGTGATCTAAACAAAAATTGTTTCAATTAAAACCTTTAAAACAATCATGAAAACATCCCTTTAATATTAAACATATTAATGTGAAACATCTGTTTCTACAAAACCTACATTTTTTTGGCTTAAGCAACCTTACTGTCCTGTTTAAATTAGGTTGCATTCCCTTAGTTGTACTATGCTAGTCTGTTTAGCGTAAGAGTATCTTGAATACCTGATCTAGTATTATGCTAGTAGGGATAAAGAAATACTATTGTGCTTATAATGGCTAAATTTAATGTTTAATTTTGAACAGGTAGCTGAAATATGACTTAGGTATATGAACATTGTTATTTTTTGATAAACTGGTGTGCAATTTTTCATTCTTTGTCATTGTTTATTTATTTTCTCAGTGTTTTGTCCAGATACTTCTGTAGTTGAATTTATTATAGATGACTGGTAAAATATGTCTATATTGAAAATTAAAAATTTATACTGTACATTTAAATTTTGAGGAACAGCGGGTAAATGGAAGTAAGTTTACTTGTTAAAGTACATAGATGTATTTTTTTGTAAAAAGCACATTCTGGTTTTCTGTCAGATCAAAACTTTTAACTGGTCAATAAAAAAATAATTTTGTTTTAAATAAGAATATGCATACTAGCTATCTCCAGCTTTATTTTAACATTCATCCTTACGAGAAATCTGGCCTTCACTTTACCATGCTGCCTTTCAGAAGAATGTCAAATTGCTTGCTTCTGTAATCCGCACTAAGTGTCGTTCTGTCACTCTCTTTAGCAGTTAGACCACATATAGATGTTTGACTCTACTTCCATGCTAAGAGACCTGATTCTTTAACTCCAGTGCTGGAGGCTAGTGTTTCCATATTCTGAAGTCCCAGGCTCAATGCCAGATTTCCTAAACAAAGGGTTGGTACTGTCACAGTTCTGAGCAACTGCATCTCTGCTCCCACTCTGTGGTCCAGCAAGGGCACCCTTTCTAAGCTCCCAGCTGTCAGGTCTCTCTCCCTCCTAATGAGGTTATTTCCAGGCTGCACAGTTCCCTGCCTGTACTGTGAATTCCCCAGCAGTCAGACTGCCTAAGCAGGCCTGTTTTACTTTTCTTGTCAGTGACCGTAAACAGTGTAAGTGGCACAATTAAGTTACCACACAGCTCTTTCTAAGCAAGCACATTTATTCTTAAAGTAAAAAAATTAAAGAAAAACATTAAAACAATAAAAGAATGTACACATACACTAAACTTACTATAGATCACACCCCATCTTCCACAAGGGCTCTAGTCTGTCAGTCCTTTCAACACTTTCCTGAGGATTGGGGCCCTCCCCATTTGCTGGATTAGAAGGAAAGTTCTCCATTAGTTTTAACTCTTTAAACAAAATTCCTTCTTTTTTGGTCCCTGGAGAGTTCAGTTTGAACAAGTATATGCAAGACTCCAGTCAGTGCTAGTTCTCTGGAAGTGTTACAACTGGAGTGAATTTGCCTAACCCCACCCCTCCACTCAGCTTGGTTCCTGGAAGACTCTGGTCTCCCTCCCCACATGGAATTGCATACAATCCATAGCGTACGAAACAAACTGCAAGAAGGTTGGTCAGTTTCCTGCAATACCCTGGACAAATCTGTCACAGGTATCTTTGGTTATCCAGTCTGTAACCACTAGACCAAGGGTCGGTAACCTTTCAGAAGTGGTGTGCCAAGTCTTCATTTATTCACTCTAACTTAAGGTTTTGTGTGCCAGTAATACATTAACATTTTTAGAAAGTCTCTTTCTATAAGTAATATATAACTAAACTATTGTATGTAAAGTAAATAACGTTTTTAAAATGTTTAAGAAGTTTTATTTAAAATTAAATTAAAATGCAGAGTCCCCCGGACCCAGGCAGCGTGAGTGCCACTGAAAATCAGCTCGCGTGCTGCCTTTGGCACATGTGCCATAGGTTGCCTACCCCTGCACTAGACCACACGCTGCTCCCAAAGCCAGCAATGGAAACCAAGATTCCCAATGCCCAGCATTCCACAAAAGCTTGTGTGTAACCCACTGGCAATGTGCCGTCCGTCCCTCCCTGTAAGGGCTAGTCCATGTAAAGAATATCAGCATACGCCACCCCTGTGAGCGCACACCAGCACCACCACTAGTTATATCTTGACATGGAAGAGGTCTGTGCTGTGGACTGGAAGGCAGTGGGTTCCAACCTTGCAGATGACCCAGATAGGGTGGAAAAAATACATTATATATAAAACTCAGTTTAAGAGCCCTGAAGCACTTGTTGAAATGATTTTATATTGCAAATATTTGGAAGTAAAATTGGATGTTGTACTAATATATACTCTATTGCTGTATTTTTACTTATGTTTGGTTCAGAGTAATCCATGGAAGCCTTTCTCTGTGTAACCAAAGAGTAGATTCTTGCTCTGTAAGCTCCAAAAAGGCCAGAACTTAAGTTTAATAACTGATCTTTCCAGAAAGTAATCCTCATTCTGAAAGGTGTAACATTGGCACTTATTGGAGATTGAGTGACTTAGGGCATTACTACTTCTGCTACAAAGCAGTGCCTCTCAACCTTTCCAGACTACTGTACCCCTTTGAGGAGTCCGATTTGTCTTATGTACTCCCAAGTTTCACCTCACTTAAACTACTTCCTTACAAAATCAGACAAAAATAGAAGTGTCACAGTACACTATTACTGAAATTGCTTACTTTCATTTTTAATCTATACTATAAGGTGGAATATAAATATTGTATTTACATTTCAGTGTATAGAATATAGAGTAATATAAACACATCATAAAATTTTAGTTTGTACTAACTCTGCTAGTGCTTTTTATGTAGCCTGTTATAGAACTAGGCAAATATCTAGATGAGTTAATGTACCCCTGGGAATACCTCCTGCATACCCCCACAGGTACTCCTATCCCTCTTTGAGAGCCACTGCTACAGAGCCTTTCAGCACTAGGTCACTTGTTTGAACTGTGCCCAGCTCCCTAAGGATTAAAAATTGTTCCCATATAACATATGTTTGGTATGAGGTTAAGTATAGCGAGACCTAAATTTGCAAGGGTTGGCCATTTTGTAATTATGATACACATTTGGGGGTGAGCAAAAGGAATTCAAAAGTCAAGACAGACCAAAACACCATTTAATCTTTGGCACATAATCATGGGCTTTTGTAAAAGTCTCACAATTTTAGGGTTTGAATCATTTTTTAACTTTTGGGATTGTGAATACTGAACTCTAACATAATGCATTCAGATGGGTTACAGAAAAGGCTGTAACTGTTAATTGAGTACAGCAGAGGTTGCTGTGGGGTCTGCACCCAACCTCTGTGTCTCCTCACACCATATTCCCTGTTGTATTACAACTACAGATGGCACCAGTAGCAGACCCAGGAGAAGAGATGAGGAACAGGGGCCAGGCTGTCTCCAGCCAGTCCCTCAGACAGCTCCCAACCACTGGATTGTACCCCTACCTACCCCAGCTTCCTTCCCAAACAGCCAGCCGCTGCCCCCCCCCCCCAACACCTGTTAGC